TTGTCCAAACTGCTTCTTGTTCAGTAACATGATCTTTAAAGCAGTTTTTGTTACAAGATTTAAGTTTATTAAACACTTGTTGTTCCAGTTCATTTCGAGTGGGTGAAGTTTAGGCGGAGAGATCATTTTCCTCTCTTGCTTGAAACGCTTTTCGTTTTTGATGCTGTCGCTTTAACTTACCTTTGGCATTTCCGCGTAAATTACACATACAAAGTTGCAATCAATCGTTGTTTAGGGGCATCAATTTCAATCTATTGACTTCTTCGGCGATCTTGAGCTTCATGAAGGGCCGTTTGGGTCATAATTCATTTTGTTACACGTACGCTAGAGTTACGCGTAACAGGTCGTTCACGTACCCTACAGGTACACGTAACACTTTGTTTACGTACCCTAGAGTTACACGTAACACTTTTTTCACGTTCCCTAATGTTACGCATAACTCTTTTTATCTTACCTCCTATACATTTCTAGGAATATGATTGTTTAAAAGCAACCGCGTGGAGACCGTGTATATTCCATATTAGGTTAGTAAGCGGGGCTTATTTCAATACACGGTTAGTAGTGGTGTTTTATTAAAACAACACGGTGTTGAGGAAAAATCTTTAAGGTTTCAACAGACGAAGAAATAGATGATGAACGATTTAAATAAATTCTTAAAACACATTTAAAGCTAACAAGTTGTTATTGTATTGTTGGTATTTTTTTTTTTGTATAGACCAATGAAAGTAGGTTCTTAATACTAACGGTATTGAAGACATGATCACTTTGATAAGCCACTAGTCTAAATACCACATGTTAAGATAGTCGGTAAGATAAATTCGTTACATAGTGTGCTAGTGACCTAATACGATATATATGGGGTCAGTAAATTCCATATGGGGATTCGTGCTTCACTCTCACCCCATATGGAATTTACTGACCCCATATATATCATATTTTAGGTCACTAGCACACTATGTAACTAATAGTACGTGTACCCTAGAGGTACGCGTAACTGTTTGTTCGTGCAGCTAACTGCAACAGAAAACCTGTCATCCCTTTACCTAGATAATGAATTATCCGTGTCAACATATTTTTATGAACAACCCCCCCCCCCCCCCCCCCAAAAAAAAAATACCTCAAAACACTTGCAACTGAAGAATAAATGCTTTGTATAAGGAAAAGTATAAGTATTCACCAGGAAAAAATCCCAATGAAATAAATACAGATATCTAAAAATTATAACGGAAAGAAATTAATAATATCCATTTAGGATGTGAATTGGATACGGGGGATAACTCTGTAAAAACTGCTTGAAATTTGGCAGCAACCGACAACAAAACGAATAATACTGTTTTCAATGTACACAATAAGTTGCCAACATTAATGTTTAATATAAATATAGGTTTAAACAAATAATTTTAATCAATTTATTAAAATGTTGTAAAAAGGTCGGATTTAATTGTTCAATTAGTATTCTCCAGCAGACGAGTTCATTGCATGTGCATAGAGTATATAGGTTATTCCGCATACGTATACAAATAGTTACGTGTACCTCTAGGGTACGTGTACAAATAGTTACGCGTAACTCTAGGGTACGTGAATAAAGTGTTACGTGTACATGTAGGGTACGTGAACGACCTGTTACGCGTACCTCTAGCGTACGTGTAACAAAATGAATTATGACCCGAACGGGCCTTCATAGAGCTTGTGATGGTGATCATTTACGCTGTTTGCTGTTTTAGCATATACATAATAGATTTCAGGATACTAGTATTACAAATGTTAATATCTATGGTTCAGGAGTCGACTGCCATTTTCCGTCATTTTAGAATTATTTGTAGATCTTATTTTGTTGATCGTTTTTGCTGTTTACAAATGCTCTCTACCTACTTTTGTTTCGTCGAAAAAGCCAATTAAAAGAAAAGATAAAAACTAATCGTAATTTATTGGTATTAACTCCCATAACAAGTCGATGGCAGCGTGACTTAAATTTAGAAATTTCTTTTTGGTTAGGTCTGCAGTTTTTAAATTGCTGTCTTTATTTGACATGCAAGCTTATTTAGATATAATCTCTATATCTTCCTCTCTATCTCCTATAGCATCCATCAAAAACGCAAATTATGGTAAAACAAATCGGGTATAAACTCCTTTAACGATTCGACTGGTGATTTTAGTGATTTTAAGTTTTTTAATTATAACTATAGTTTTAATTATAATAACATCAGCGATAAAAATAATTTTCTAAATCTTATTAAAGGGTAAGGTTGTTAATCTTTTATTGTAAGTGTATACTCAATATCATGAGATGCAATGACGATTAAATCAAAAAGTCAAAATAGGCTTCATAGTAGATATTTTCGAAAACTTATCGATACTGACGCCTAATCCTAATTATGCCTAGGACGACAGGTTACCTTTTTGAGAAGGGTTATCTCAAGGTAAACAATGAGTACATGCTTTTATAAGATATTCATTTAATACTGTATAAAAAATTATTTTCAATGACTTGTTTATTTGTTGGCTCTGTTTAAAAGCTAAGAATTGACCGATCTTCATATTATACTTTGTAAAATAAAAGGACTATCTATCAATTTAGCTCTTGAAAACCGACGATTCTAGTCAAATGGGATAATAACAATCTTAAAGACAAATGTATCTACTAGCTACAAAGCATCATTTTATGTACTTTTAGACCTTTTGACAACTAAAACTATTGTCAAACTGGTTGTCATTGGGGGATTTTCCAAAATAAAAAAAAAAATAAAAAAATCTATTTAAGTATTTTGTGGAAGGGGAGACTAAACATTTGCAGAGGTTGAAGACCAATTACCCTAGATAACGCATACAAACATTATTTGTTTAAGTCATGCATTTTTAAGATCCACTTTTAAAGTCAAGGGTTTTTAGGAAAAATTCAAGGGGGTATTAGTGAACGGTGTGTCCGACTTTTTTCATATATCATGAATAAAATAAATTAATATGCCTTAATTTTTCTCTGAAAAATGAATGAACGAAAGTAAGAAATACACATCCAGTTTATACATTTAGAGTATACGTAGCACGAAGCCTTTCTTTTTGTAATTGAAACACACCTACTCTGTTGTTGTGATACATTAGAAAAGTACATGAACCATATATTTCATGTTTTTGTGCTGAGAATTTGTTATGTTATTATATCAAAATGCACGTATATAAAAATAATGGATCTGAAGCGAGATGATATATCAAATATTTTTGCTTTGTACGTTTTCAGGACAAAACAGTCAACCCAAACACGCTTGCACGTAAAAAGGTGTACCCGATTTTCTTTTCCGATAAGATTATTGCCCATTGTTTTTATTTCCCCTCAAACAGTCAAAGATATAACTCTATAGGGTTATTACAGAAAATAACTTGCGTGTGTTATTACAGATACTTTCATGAGTTGTCTACTCTTTATTCCTTAAATTTTCTAAATCTGTAATAACATATGTTTGTTATTTGTAAAATTATTTATTTTATAGTGGGCTCTAGGGAACTCTAGAGACTTTGCGCAGAAACTAAATGCATAGCCTTGATAACTAATTTTTTAATTAAATTAATTCATTTTTGATTAACCATGGTAAATCAATGAGACGAGGCTATTAAGGGATAAACTTAGCTGTGATAACAAGGCTAGGTTATTAAAGGAATGTAACTTATTATATAAGACACTTGGGAATTACTGAGAAACTTGCGCAGAACCTCATTACATGCTCTGGTCATTATTTCTTACAATAAATTAAAATACATTGTAATTAAGCATGATGTATGTCTGAGCAAATGCTTTGAAGTGATATAGAGAAGCTGTGATAACACCCTTTAGTTATTACAGGCGTATTTTTTCTGTAATAACATATAGGTGTACTATGCAAAATTGGCAAACTATGAACTGTTATATCTTTCAATAGTTAAGTATATATATAGACAAAAGTAATATCAATAGAACTTTTATACATTTTAACTAAACTAATGATGTATATTGTCCCTTTGAAACATGTAACATACATATGTTATCACAGTTCTTTGATTTTTTAGTCCACAATAACAAATGTATGTTATTTTTCTGTAATAACCCTATAGAGTTATATCCCTGACTGTCAAATCTACATAAAATTCAAATTACTGCTTTAAAAAATTCAATCTGTATGATTCGACAATTAGAAGAAAACAGTTGGAATATATCAAAAATTTATCACTAAAAGAATTCCAAAACTAACGAGAGCACTTGGTGTTTCTAGCGTAGGTTCCGAATAAAAAAATAAATAAAAGCCAACTACAGAATAGTCAATAGATATAAGAAGATGTGGTTGAGTGCCAATGAGACAACTCTCCATCCAAGTCAAAATTTTTAAAAGTAAACCATTATAGGTCAAAGTACGGTCTATATTTTGTTTTGCCTATGCTGAGTCCAACCAAATTTTACGAGGTTATTCATTCAGTATATTTTGACATTTTGATACGGGCCCTCTGTTTGTTAGTCAGTATATGTATCGGTGTCGGTATAAGTTTCCGTGTAGATGACTTTTCGAAAATGTCTATTAATAAGTCGTGAAAGTTGTATGTGAAGTATCGAATCAGATAAACCTAAATGTATACAGCTATAAATGTATACAAAATTTGAATAGTTCAAAAAAACTTTTTTTTTCAAACCACTTTCTTTTAAACTGCACATGGATGAATAACAGAAGTACTTGAATCAAAGTTTGATACCTTTTGATTTATTCGTAGATCCACGAAGTTTTTGTTTCATTGTCATCAATTAAAAATAACAAGCAACAACGTGAAACACATCCACATAATCAGGACCTGAAGACCTGAATTCAAGTTTTGCAAACAAGCTTATCATTTAAAATATCACACTCAATGTATCAAAACGACCTATGTGGACAAAGTGATAAAGGTTAGAAATTAACATGGTTAAACTAATTGAAAACAGTGTAAGTACTTTTCAAAACGATGATACGCTATTTTTGTTCGCCGCTATGGAATATACTTACAGTTGTTTAAAAATGAGAAAATGTCTTTTGCGTCACTCAATTTCATTGCATATGATGGATTACTTTTTCTATTTATTGTCAAGACATTATGTTCCCTATCAATATTGAATCTCGCCTCTCCATCCGTTGTCAAAATTATCCATTCATCCATTTTAAAAATCGCCATCTGAAATGAGAAAAGGTCATCTGCTCATCTTGGTAAACGGTAAAAGTACTATCATTTGTTACATCAATACCCTATTTCTCCATGCTTCTTTATGCAACAGCAGACCTATTTATTCCAAAGAGATTTATACCCAAGTTTCCTTACGATTGGTACATGGTTATACTTCATGCAGGTAAACATAATTATTACGATAAATACCTAGGGCAGTACTTTGGTACTGGTATAAAAAATACGGATAATGTTTAATTGAAAGTTGCTGTTATAAAATTTAGGAAACAATATTGAATTAAGGAATATAGGATTTGGCTATACTTTAATAAATTGTTGGATTGGTCAGATCTTTAACGTTTGTATACTAGTCAACAAAAGAAACGATACAAGGCAATGTATAAATTTTCCATATATCATGAAATTGGATACACTGTTCCAAGGTAAATAATTGCTCAATTGGTCTAATATTATTAAGGGTTATTTTATTATTATTATCAAAACCATTGATTTAAGGCAAAAACGCGATTTTTTGTTTTGCAATTTTTGTTATTTCAAAAATCGTATTTTCACCCAAAAATCAAAAAAGTCGATATCTAAAACATAAAACTTTAAACTTAAACATGGTCTGCTTAAAATTTTGAACGCCTTTGCAGATATTTGAATACTTTATTCTCATCTACGAAATTAAGTGCCGACTTTTGTCATCATTTTCCGTAATAGAAATTTGACCCCTGTGTTCAATAACACGGTATTTTCTAATTTTCCAATTTGCTCAGATTCTTTTAATCATATGCATTTGCTTTGAAAATGAATGTTTTTCATTGGATAATTTAAGAGTTTTTCCTATTTATTATATTTTATGATAAATTGGAGTTCAAACTTGTGTATCGTTACTTTTGTTGACTAGTATATAATGTTTCGGTTTTTAAATAGTTCGGCCTCAAATACCATTAAAGATATCTTACTCGTCGAAATGCGTATGTTGTGCACTACAATTGGTACCGTTTATTGTGTTACTAAAATAGTGCCACAAAACAAGTGTTTAAAATGTCAATTACATGCCAATCATTTATTGTTATCATTAAATGCAGTATTTATAAACAAACTGTGAAATTTGTATAGAAACGTATTCATGGTATTTTTATTGGTTAAAAGAAATGGGTCCAATCATCACTTGGTGCTAGCATGTTCTGTACGATCTTAAAGTACGTATGTAATGTTCCCCAAATACAAATATTAGTTTCTAGATTTTTTTCACAAAACAAATACTAAAGGAAAGTTTCGAGATATAACAAAAGTTACTCATCATAAAAGTCATTTGTGACCATCCTATGCCAGGGACCAGAGTTGTCTTAGACTTTTCTTTATGTTTTTCACAAATACAAATACAAATGGGGAGTTTTAAGATACAAAAGTAGCTTAACTTCAGAATACTTATGTGTGTCTATCGTATTCTAGGGACAGGAGTTGTCTTAGAATTTCTAAATCATTTCCACATATACAGAGACAAAGGGGAAGTTTTATGTCTAATGACTCCCAATAATTGTTTGTATCTATACAATGCCAGGAACAGGAGTTGTCTTAGTCTTTTTGTTTCATTTCTACAAAAGCAGATACAAAGGTTGAGTAGTGAGATATAAATTATTTTAACCCCTCAGCTGAATACTCAAGCGTGTCTATCCTATGCCAAGGACAGGAATTGTCTTAGTTTTTTTAATATTTCCCAAACACAAAGATACAAAGGACCCGGTTTTGAAATATAAAACTAATTAAACCCATCAGAATTATCTTTTATTTCTATCCTATACATCCCACGGACAGGATTTGCTTAAGTCGGTGTTTAATGGTTTCACAAACACAGATACAATGGGAAAGGTTTGAATTATAAAAATAGTTTAACCCCTTAGAATATTAGTGTGTGTATATCCTATGCCAGGGACGAGAGTCTTTTCTTATTGTTTTCCAAAAAAACAAAGATAAAAAGATTGAGTTTCGAGAGATAGAGATAACATCTGAATATCTTAACCTCAGAATATTTATGCGTGTCTATCCTATGCCAGGGACAGAAGTTGTCCTAGTATGTTCGGAATCTTTTCTTCGAATACAGATACGGAAAATTATAAAATACTTGTGTCTTACTATCCTGTGCCAGTGACATGAGTTGTCGTTGTCTTTTCTTAATGTTTCGATAAAAACATATACAAAAAGGGGGTGAGATATAGAAAAAGTTTAACCCCTCAGAATACTCATGTGTGTCTATATTATAGAATAGACTGGCATACAATTTCTATTTAGAATAATTTTTTTTATTAAAACCAGTTAAGTTATCCTATGCCAGGGACGGCAGTTGTTGTAGTTTTTTCTCAATTGTTTTAACAGAAACAATACAAAGGTGAGTATAAAATATAAAAATTGTTTAACCTATAGGAAACTCATCTGTGTCTATCCTATGCCAGGGACAGAACTTGTCTATTTGCACAAGATTATGTTTTTTCCTGACTGTTGATGATTGATTGATTGATTGATTGTTGTTTAACGTCCGACTGTTGATGAAGTCTTTACACTAAATCCATTGGATGTTTTCTGATGGATATTTTAGTCTTAGATACATGATTTTTATTAGATTTGATTGCCTTTAAAATAGCTGTCATCTACTGCGAGTACTCTCAAATCTTTTCTTTGTGTCTTTGTTGTTGTGAGAGATGTATAAATTCCCTGCCACGTCCGGTCTGTGTTTTTTAGTTGGATGTTTTTCTACTTTGTATTGATCTGATCAACGGATTTTTATATTTTTTTCTTACTTTGTTACACCACTGTCCCATGTTAGGAAGAGGGTTGGAGTTTTCAAACGTGTTTAACCCTGTCTCATTCTTTTTGCTCCTGTCCCAAGTCAGGAGCCTTCAGTGGTTGGCGTTGGTTCGTGTCTGTCATATTTGTTTTTCGTAGTGTTTTGTTATAAATAAGATCATTAGTTTTCTCAATTAAATTGTTTCATATTTTTTTATATCGGGGCGTTTTATAGTCGACTATATGGTATGTGTTTTTGCTCATTCTTGAAGGCCGTACGGTTGCCTATAATTGCTTACGTCCGCTTCATTTGATCTTTGGTGGATAGTTGTCTCATTGGCAATCCTACCCCATCTTATTTTATATACGTCTTTTCTAAATGTTTATCACAAATACAGATACTAAGGGAGAGTTTCGAGAGATCAAAATACATGTAGTTTAACCCCCTAGCATACTCTTCCTTTGCTAGGGACAGGAGTTTTCATAGTCTTTTCTCAATGTTTTATTTTTTTTTCACAAATACAGATGAAAAGGGGGAATTTTGAGATAATTTATCCCATCAGAATAATCATGCGTGTTCGTCCTATGCCAGAGACCAGAGTTATCTTAGTCTTTAATACTAGTTTTAAATAATTGTGTTGGTTTGGCAAATGTTTGGGGCACCTGGTTCCAGGAATCATATTCACCCTTGTTCTCCTTAACCAATGGAGACACCTGGTAAATCTTTTTACTCAGTGATTCAATTGGTTACAGAGCACATATCGTTAGCTTCCAAACCCTATGTGTTTGGTGTTGTATGCTATTATTTTTATAGTGTTTTCTAAACATGTTGGATGTATACACGTTGGATTTTACAGTTTTTGAACCATGAATGATAAATGTATACCCGATAAGGGAGTTCCTGTTGTCAATATGGCGGATGAGTCATAAATTTATAATTAGCATTTCATACACACAATAGTACATGTTATAATGCACAATATTTAGCCTCTGCAAAGGTACTACAGCCATGACCATACATAATTGCATTTGTCCACAAGGTATTAAGTATACTTCAAAATGGTGTACAACAAATCTTTATGATCATTTTCTGTATAAGACTTGTGAAAGCTGCAGAGTAGCTACTATTGGTCGTCTTTTATCCATTATGGCTAAATAATGACCTACTTTGAAAACGTAAGCTAATGTGAGAAATAAGTTTCTACAATAATACGCAATAAGTAATATTTAAATGACTATTTAAACCGAAATTATAATAACAACAATAATTTATGAAACATCTATGATGAAACTGATCATCATCTGCTCCGTTTTTTTCATATCTTGACCTTAAAAACAAAATAAATAATATATATACATATATATATAAATGTATAATGAATGCTTACCTGTATTTAATTGAATAACACAAAGTAGAATATTTCCGCGAATATTTATTTTGTTAACTTTCGATTCATTTCTGGAAAACCCTGATCAGAGTGTAATCGATATATCCAAATATTACTACGCGTCTCGACGGTAATAACAAACACCTAGATTTGTAAGTATGCCAAAATATTTCCTTATCGACTTAGATAGACCATAATGTACGTGTGAATACATATATATATTTATTTTCTTGTGTATTGTCTATTGCAATTGTGTGATAAAAAAAATCAATGTACTGATTATGCCTATAATGGGTCCTCTATTGGAAATAAAATTTATCTTTATCTCTATAATTATATACGTGTGTGTCATCAAACTGTTACACAGCAGTATTCATAGCTTGTAACGATATCCATTAAATTTTATAGGACAAATTTATTTACGTAATTACACAACTTTGACAAACAATGTTTGAACATTAATACAACATTGCACAACTATGTTAAATTACTTGCTACTTGATATTGAAATGTCAAAGTTTTGAACATAAAGGTAATAATTCACTTCAACTTCAACTTCAATTAGATTACTTAGTAACACCCGCAAGCAGACATCTCACTAAGGAACAAACATGTATTTAAGAGTTTTGGTTTAAGAAAATGTATAATCCAGGAATATTACCTGTTTGACATTGTATCAGTTTGGAAAATTTATTATGGGAGAGAGCGTGAATGGAGAGATTCTGGAGTAGACTTAACATATAAAATATATATTATGATACTCAGATAAAACATGATTTCGTGAACAATCCACCCCTTCCTCCCCTTCCCAAACCGGTACAGTGACGTAACATAATAACATAAGAACAAACTGTAAAAGTCGAAATGAGATTGATACAACGGAAACAAAAAACCACAACTTACAAAAAATACTTAATCATAGGAAAACAGATTACACCAAGTTTAAATATATATATATATATACAGATACGCTTCAATGATTGCATGACGATTTACTTCCTTGTAACAGCCATTTGTTGTGTTTGATGTAAGTATAGTTTTCTTTATCTTAATGTGTTACAACGTGTCTTTTAATCTTGAAATAATGGGAGAAAAGATAATTTCTTTTTGTTGTATAAGAGGAAAGGAACACTCTGATTTGTGTAGCTTTAAGTACACCTTGATTTTAGAATATTGATATTTCTGGAAAGGGTTTGGGGACCTATATATATCTATATTCAAGAATATGGATTTTTAGAAGTTATAGTTAGAATAAAAAGCTTAAGGATTTCCAACTAGCTGATTACGCTTCAAAATATAAGAAATTGAATCGATTAATATATAAAATGACAGAAATTGCATTAAATGTTTCACAATTAGAATCAACAACGCAATTGACCTAGTACGTAAATTAACACTCAAAGAAACAGCACTGATTGGTTAGTAATTTCCTATATTGTGTCAAATCAACATGATCAACTCTCTCAAGTTGTTCAGTCATGTGTTTAGAGTCACTGTATATTAATATAAAAAAAAGCACATTAAAGAATGACACTATTGAAAGTACAATGAGTTAGAAACGTTAGTTATAATATTAACAAAAAGTCACGGTTCTTGGAACAAAATTTCAAGGGCTGTACTACACAGTCTGTTACGGCTTATTATTGGAAATATAGAGAATTATCCAGGTCCGAATTCAGAAATAAATACTGATTCTTCCACCAGTATAAAAAAAAACTCACTATCCATAGGTAACATAAACATACGTAGTTAAAAAAATAAGCATATTTTTTATCCAAAACTTAATGATGAATTTGATATTATAGTAACTATACCTGAAACTCATTTGGATCCAAGTGTTAACATTGACGATTTGCAGCTTTCCTCATTTTCGAAGAATATAATCCGAAAGGACCATAACAGAGCTGGAGGATGTATTGTCATCTAACTGAAGGATGATATATCCATAGTACATAACGGTGAACTCGAAAATCACATAGATGAGACAAAATGGGTAGAGAAAAAAGGTAAAGGTCAATCATTTCTTCTTTGTTGTACTTATGCGAAGGAGTAAACGGACAATTCACAACAATAAGTAATACGATACATTGAATCTTTTTACTCTAAAAAATGTAATAAATAAACCATCAAGAATGACTGAACATTGTAGAACATTGCTAGATCCGATGATTATCAGCGACACAATCAAATATTCTATTGCCGACGTACTTAAATTGCCGTATGAAATAAGTGATCATGATGAATCTTAAATATTTTAGAACGCCCAAGATTACATCCAAATAATTCAGAAGAAAACTTTGGTTATGATTAAGCAGATTTCAATAAATTTTCTTTAGGACTGGATTCTGTCGGTTGGGATAAACTTTTTTCTGATGTTGAGGATGTTGACAAAATGTGCAATACATTTACTCAAAACTCCATGACATCGCAAGGCAGAGCAACCCAACTCGACATGTTTATACACGAAACAATAACAGACCATGGTTTGACAATGAGCTAAGGGAAGACATCTGTAGACGAGACCGATTTCGTAAAACTGCTTTAGAAACTAAAAAAAAGATTCATATTAATAGATACAAATAGCAGAGGAATAAAGTTCAAAAGCTACAAAAGAACAATTTGAAAGAAGCTAAAACACTGTGTCTAAATCCAAAACTTATTTGCAGATAATGCAAATGCTTATTAAATCTAACAAATGTTCTGATGATTTACCCCCACTAAATAATATTATTCGCGATTAAAGAATGGAAGATATAGTGCACGGAGACGACGAAAAATGTAATCCTTTGAATAATATTTTTAGTCTGAATTCTTCCTTAGAGGAGAAAGTTGTTCTGTTCCCATCCCTGAAATCGAACCAAGAACCAACATTGTATTGAAAGATTTAGTAATATAAAAAGATGAAATAATTGATATAGTTAAAATTCTAGATCATTATAAGACATCTAATCGTGACGTCATACATGTGTATGCCATAAATTGTTGAAAATGTGTCCTGAAAAAAAATAGAAGTTGGCTTATAACATATTATTCAATAAATCCCTGCATTAATGTAAATTTCCTACCAGCTGGAAGACTTCAAACTTTATTGCTTTTTTTTAAGGAGTTCATTGTGTAACAGTGGTTTGATTCCGCCTGAGTGTACCTTATCCGGAGGATGAAAATTCCTAGTGTTTTTTATCCACCAACAAAAACTCACTAGGTTTTTTAATCCGGGTCCAGAGTAAAATATCCACCACTCATCATAAGATTCTAAAGAGGGTTTTTTGAAGGGGAAATATATAAAAAAAATGGGGCTTGGTATTTTTGGAGGGTATTTGAATTAAATAAAACTTGCATAGTTGATTTATGTAAAAAATGGACAAAGTAAACTAGTGTTTTCATCCAAGGAATGTTCACACTAGTGTTTTTGAACCAGGAATTATTACACTAGTGCTTTTGTACCAGTACTGAGATTACTATAAGTCTATAGTAGTCTCAGTTTTGTACCCGGAATGATTGCACCACTTATTTTGAACCGGGATTTATTACACTAGTGTTTTAGATCCATATACATTGATGAAGTGTTTTAGTACTCATTTTTAACACACGATAACACAATAATGCTTTATTAACGAATAAGTTTTAAATAATTTTTCTATGCAAATCCATAAAATCATATGCTTTTAAATTGTCACTAATTTCGGAAGTGAGATCTGTTCTGTACAGGTATTATCCTCCGTTATATATCGGAGCACTCCCACTTGGGATATATGGGTTTAGTGCTTAATCAAATATTTACACATAAATTTACACAGTGTGGTGGGGTGCTTAAGTTTAAAACTTTATATACAGGTAAGATTGTGAATTTTAAAAACAAGTGTTTAAAATTAAGTGCTATTTACATCAATTATAATTCTATCTAGGTTTAAATTTTTGATTTTAAAACTGTTTTGATTCCTTTTAATGAGACAATGGGGTGTTTCTACCATATGTTTAATAAGTTAAAGGATAAAAATATGAAAGAAAAAGGATAAAAATCAAACGATAAAAGGTAAAAATAGGTTGATTAAATAAAACAAAAAGATTGGGATTAAATTGTGTCAGTAGGGTATCAGCTTAAGACGAGATTACCAGAAATAAAATATATCAGTAACTAAAAAATTTTACATATATCATACAATTTGAATATAAGGTGATCCCCTGCCAAGGTCTAAGCATATAATTAGATGTAAGCCGCTAATCTAGTCGAAGATGGAGGCAGTTAGCTTGGCATTCCATGCAGACTGCTTGGTCCATCATTGCTGTTTTGTATATATATATATATGTGCATAATATTAGTTTGTAGAGCTGGATACAGTAACAATGTTGTTGTTTAAATGTAAATTCACATTGTTGAGGGTCTTGAAGAGAATTACTTGGGTGTTTCAGCAGTTTCACTTCAGCCTTTAAATAATATATCATCATGTTTGCATTTCGGTGCGTTTCTTATGCATTTGGTGACAGAAATTTTGAGATTGTTTTTCTATTTCTATCAGGTCATTTGCTTTTAGGTGGGATAAGCTAGTTGTTGATAGCTTCGAGCAGTCCATAATAATTTGAAGCACATCCTCCTCTTTATAATTAGCTTTGTCACCTCCCCCTTTCAACTCGGTTAAAGATAGAAGCTTGTTCATCTGTTTTTGTCGTACACTCTCCAGAGACTCACATTCCAGCAGAAAGTGCTTAATGTCCTCTTCAGCTTTGGTACATAGCTCACATATTCCAGATATTTGATTTTTACTAAATTTTGATTTAGTTGTTTGAAACATGTAGGTTCCAGTTATTAACCTACTTTTGAATTCTGCTTTTCGAATGTCATTCTGATTGTTTCTGGCAGCTTTCCAGATATTATGTGGGTTTTCAGTAGGGTTTTCTTGGATTGTCAAGTATTTAATCGTTGTTTTTGTTAGGCATTCCTCTTTCCAGATATTTGACCAGTATATATTTATGGCTTTTTCAGCATGTTTTTCCATTTGTATTTTGATGGCGGGTTTTCTAAAATATCTTTTGAATTTGGCAGACTGTATTTATTTAAGATTTTGTCTATTCTGTTTATAAATGATTCTGTGAAG